TATCCGTAGAATAACTAAGATTTCGTCTCAGCCGGAAAATATTATGTACAATACATCCGGTGTAAGAAATATTCGGTTTCGATTTCTCCCTGAAGAAAACCCGCGCACGACCCCGACGGTGACGTACGCAACCAACGCTTCATTATATTATTGCCTCTTTTTTCGCGTACGATCATTATTAAAACGATATCGGATTACTTACGTGACGGTAATAATAATACTATGTGTACGAAGTGAGCTCGTGTCCAGTCATCCGTTCGTTTAAAATTGTCCCGGTTCGTCTATTTTTATAACACACCCACAGTGATCCATCCACCTGACATCACCCTACCAGTATAATGCAATACCACCTTCAAGTTTTTATCGCCCACCAGTCCCGCACCGGAAGCCCACCATCACTGTTTACCGGAAGGAAATTCACCTCACGCGTAGATTTATAATTGCTCAGATAGTGACACAATATAACATTACCTGTGTCGACGCAATACATAAATAAATATTACTGTGTATACAACATTCTTATATCTATTGGCTGATTATTGTCGGTTACACAGCTCATTGCTCAATTTGGCGTTCGTAATTGAAATCTGTTGGCCGTTTAAAAATCATTTTTCCATAACGCGTCCTCATTAAAGTATGTAAAAAATTGTATTTTTTTCCTAAAATCGTTGCCATGGCATTTCTTTAGAGCCGTGTCGTCATTATTTGTATAATACTGCTATGAAATCTGATATTAAAACCTACACCGTGGTTACTGCTTACTAATTGTATATCTCTATACAGTAGGTAATCGTTTCACATATTTTGGTCGCGTCCGAGAATGTTAATAGTTGATTAAATTACGGCCTAAACTAGTGCTATAGCCAGCACACCGTAATTTCCAACACGCATTATATAATACGTTCTATTACTTATAGAGTCTTCGTGCGACATTATTCGCAATTACGAAACTTCCATTAATTCGCGCCTTTAATTCTCTCAGTTCAGCTGCCGGCACGTTTATGTATGTATACTAATATAATTGTTTATTTGATATTTATACACGAATACGACTAATATAATTCATAAACCTAAATCCCTCGTCATAATAATATTATAATATAGCTACTTTATTTATCTCGCTGTAATAGGAAGTACCTACTCATCACAATGTTTATGCAATATAAATGTTTATTGTAAGTAGCTATTCGTAAATGTATAAAACATACGGATAAGGTTAGTATTTAAATAATAATGTATTTGGGAGTACCTACACTACGTTTTACTAAACTATAATACGTGTTTTGTTAATGTTTATGAACAATGATAACCATGTCTTGGAATTGAACAAATCTTATAGCTTTTTTTGTGTCAGTATCAATTTAAGTTTTACAAATGTTTTCGCTTTTTAAAGTTACAGAATAAATTGTCCCAATTGTATTTTTATTGAATACTGGTTTTTAAAGGTACTCAAGTGTCACAGTTAATATTTAAAGTGTAAATAAGATTAGCAAAAATCGGTGGCTTCGGAGAAATAAATAATAAAATACGTAAATACTTAATTATCATTCAATGGAAATTAATATCAAGCTTATTTTGTTTAAATTATCTACAATATCATTAAGTAGGTTAGATTAATTTTTATTTTAAAGAACTAGTTGCAAAATAATAAAACAACATTTTATTTTATAATACACAAAAATCTACAATAGGTACCGATAATATTTGGTACTCAGTATCCTCAAAGAATAAATCGAGAGTACCTACAGGTTAGTTTTATGTTCCAAGATTTTTAAAAAGTTTTGATCTCAATATCGTTTTTATTTTAAGTTTTACGTTACACTGTGTTATGTGTACAACTTTGTTTTGTCGTATTTTTATTTTTGAAATTCTGAGTAGATTAGAAACAAACAACCTTAATGCATGGTTGGTGAGTCTAAGCTTTTTTTGTTTTAATGTTATTTTGACGTACCGAACATCTGCCGTGCCTGGCAAAATGATAGACACCGTGTCGAATTAAGTGCGCTGCAATAGAAGAGACCACGCGGTCAATATCGTTACGCCATCAGGTATCATTATGTGCAACATTTACAGTCTATACACCGTTATACCAGGTCGAATTGGTTATAATAATATGTGTATTTTTCGGCATCGGTGGTTATACGTAAACAAACACAGGTAGTCTCAACAATATGGTCAGTATACATTGTCTACAGAAATAAGAATTTTTTCCAATTTTGTATTATTATGTTATATTATATATATTTTACCTCCGAATGTAGTAGAATAGTAAAATATATAATAATATATGGAGTGTTCATATTTAATGTATATTTATATGAAGAGAGAGAGATGATATTACGTTATAAATTTCCCACGAGTATACGCGGAAAAAATAAATTATTTACATTATAATATATTATAAGTTTATTTTATATACTATATATATATATATATATATATATATACATACAAACAATATTATTATCTTTAGTTTTGTTAGAAACATATTATTGTACAAACGCATAGATGCCTTTCTCGTTTTGATTGATATATCTCATCGTAGGCCGCTTATAGGTATATAATGGTTGCGTGAACTGAAGCCGAAACAGTAATTTTTTATTCACACATTATATTATATATATGTTATTTTTTTGAGAGTCCGATTGCATCGTATCCATCGGCGCCATACTTTAATATGTTATACTATCCAAATGCTGCAGCATAGTCTCATGGGGTATACATAAGGTCGGCCGACGTTGTATTTTTTCATATAATAATATTATTATATAATAATGTATATCAAAAGTCCGCATACCTCTCTTGCAGATCTAATACATTATATTATGGTATGCCAGGATATTTATCTTAGCTGTTACTAAAATAGAATTTTTCGTTGAAAAAATCAAAACTTTAGAAAAGCCTGTATAAAATTATAATTCAGTACACCTACACATCGTTTATATGTTGTTAGCGAGCTATTATATCACAAATGATCACGGTTCAACTTCGGTGATGTGTTACAGTCTTCATTAGAATTATACACAGCTATTGCCGCATTGTTTTCTAAATTTGTTATTAATGTATATTATGTTCCGGTAATGTTAACATTTGGATAACGTCGACATTAGACATGCCTGTTGGTTAAAGCGTAATTTTTCGTTTATAAACATGAAATATCAATGATAATGTTAATCAGTCAATATTACATCATAATAAAAGAGTAAGAGTTTTTGTTAGTATTCTGTATACTACCAAAATAATAAAGCGTCAGACTGTCTGGTTATAAAAAATAAAAATTTATCTTATCTTATTCTAACTATAATTCATCATATTTACCAAACGAAAAATACTTAAACACAATTAGTGAATTTTAAAGTGGCAATAAATCTCGTCGTTTAAATAAATTTGAAATTATTAATATACGTGTAGAAAAATCATTGAGGGAAATTGCTAATCAAATGTCAAATAGTGGTGGTCAAGGATACAAAATGTGTTCATGTAAGGGAAAATAGGAAAATGTGACACCAATCGATATAAGTGTAAATAATCTAACATTTTGTGCAATTCAAAATGTCTTGGAAGCATGTCATGTAATAATAAGGATTACATTTGAATTCTATACTTAAAATAATATTTCAAGAAATAATTTAAAATTTAAAATAAAATACTTAATTTAATGCTTGTATTAGTAGATAACTTATTAAAAATAAACTCTTATTGTTTAATAATAATAATTATATTACAATAAATTATTAAAATTTAAAATTATTGTACTAATGTACGATACATTTTTATAGTTATAAAGATATTATTTAAAAGTTCTTGATTAATATCATATTATCCGATTAATTTTAACATTAATTGTAACATACACACTAATTATTTCTCTTCTAATATAATATTATTGTCTATTATACACGACGTATATGTCTTAATAGTGGTATCGTTTATCCATAGAGTGAGAATACGCCTTACTAACTTGTATTCTGTATTTCTTATTTATTTTTTTTTTTTTTTGTTGTATTCATATATGCAATATAATTTTTTTTGATTTGTGTAATTGTGTGCGAATTGATCATCGTGATATAATCCGTGCTACACTAACCGAAGGAGTTTCAAAATTATAAATCGATTCAGTTATTTATCGGCTAACGATGTAATAGGAAACAGTCAAACTTTGCTGTTTACATGCCATTTATTATACTGAAACAACCACTATATAATATATATCGTATATACAAAGTAATAATATATAATGTGTAATTTATTGTCATAATCTTATGGTCGACCAAGCAGAAGACAAGACAATAAAGAATGTTATAATAGAAAAAAGAATACCTATATCGTATGTATTGTATAACTATAAATCTTGTACACTATTTATGTGTGTACACCTTTAACGGATATTTCCCGTGTAGACAATACAATATCATAATATTATAAAGATAGTGATTTGATTAACGTAAGACAGTTATTATTATCTCAGTTGACTTTCGTGTGTTTTTAATTTAATTTTTTTTTTCTATAATTTTTAACACGTTCTTAAGCATTATCCCGATAACGTTTTGTAGGCCATGTTGGGTCAGAAAATCTAAATGTTAAGCTATAGTCAATATTAAAATCCGCGGTCACAAAAACAAAAAATAAAAATCGATGAAAAACCTACAGTATATTATGATCAACGCGTTTAACAAACGTTAAGTTCTACATTTCACGAGTATTTTCAAACGCACAAAAAATGCGTTAGCTCGAAAAAAATAAACCATTTCATCGACGATTAGACTTATTTTTAAATATTATATTGTTATGTACACTCGGATATAATTCGACGAGTTCTCGGTCCACGGCAGACTGGAACACCATTATTATATTTTATACTTGGCGCGTGAAAACCCAAAAAACCAAAAAATCGAATCCTGCAGGCGAATCATATACCTAACACAATATTGTGTAGCTCACACGTCACGTAGTTTTTTTTCTCGATTAGAGGCGAGACTGATTTTGTCGTTTGTCCACAGATCAAGCGACGATGAAGCTGAACGTCGTGCGAGTGGTCAGAGTGGACGTGCCGCCGGTGGTGCGGTCGTACGACGCCAAGCCCGACCCGTCGGCCACCGGCGCGCCCGCGCCGCCGCTGCTGTTGAGCTGCGTTTACGCGTTGGAGGGCGGCGAGACCAAGGCCGACGCGATGGCGGCCACCGGACGCCCGCTGCGGCCGGCCAACGGCACCGTGGCGGCCGCCAGCAACGGCCGCCACCGGCGGTCGTCGTCGTCGGCGGCACAGGACCTGGCCATGGACGCGGCCATGGAGGAGTTGCAGCGGCAACGCGGCCTGGTGGTCAAGTGGTACTTCCGGCGGAACCCCGTGCAGGCGTCGGCCGTGGACGCGATGGACATCATCGACGACAACGTGCAGGTGTACCAGTGGATCGCCGGCGGCGGGCCCGAGGCGAGCGGCGGGCTCGGTCCGCTCAGGGGTCGCATGGTCGACGTCACAGCGGAAACGCCGCGCACCGACCGGGCGTTCCTGCACCGGGTCATCCGGGTCGAGCGGCCCACCGCCGAGCTCACCGGCGAGTACATGTGCCGAGTGGAGGACTGGAACTCCGAAAACCGATCCGACTGGTACCCCATGGTCGTGTACAGTGAGTACCTTTATACGTCACACACACATATATATATATATATGTTATTTTTATATACAGTGAAACCTCCACTAACGGACACCTCCTAATAGCGGACACTTCTCGATAGCGGACGTTTTTTGGGGAACGAAGACATTTTCACTATTTTTCAATAGGAAAACCTCCGAATAGCGGACTCTCCGAATAACGGACATTATTTTATCAGGGAATTTTTAGAATAATGATAAGTCCCTAATAATTATTTTTTTTTATGCACTCTCGTGATAATGTAATTACGATAACAAACTCGTTATGGGACGATACGATCACGAAAAATTCGGTTATCGGTGAAGCGGTTATGTGTTATGAGTATGACAAAAGTATGTCAGTTAGTGACGGTTTTCGACGCGATGACTACGTTAATCACAAACAAAGTTCACCTATTTTTTCAAACAAAAATAATTTAAAAATACATGTACATAATTATTTTGATTTTGATTGTAAAAATATACTTTAAATAATAATATATAATTAATAATAATTTGTAAAACTATAAAAATATAATAATTTACAATAAATAATAAGTAATAACATTAAAATATGTATGAATATGTACATACATAGTACATTATTATACAAATAGATTTCAAAAATTTATCCCCTCTGAATAACGGACACCTCCGAATAACGGACAAAATGTTGGTGACCAAGAGTATCCGCTATTCAGAGGTTTCACTGTATATACATTTTTTTTTCTTGTTTGGCCGACAATAGAGGAGGCTCTGTTTGCACAACACTACTCCTATACATTTACATACATATATTATACGTTATGGTGAAAGACGAAAATTGGTAAACGATGTGAAAAACTACGTTTTAAACTCAAATTTACGCATCTCTCACCGGCCATTGACGTCATTTACCAAAACTGGCAGTAAATGATTATAAATCTCAAGTGATTCGCTGATTGTTTTACTATAATATAGGCATTGCGAGTATCATTTATAATAACGATTTATTGTTGTTGAGAGATTCACTTTTTTTTAATTTAGACGTAGGTGGGGAGATGGTATTTTGCGCCGATTTTATTACTTGTAATTTGCGCCACGAACAGGTACATTTAAGTACATATGTAATTTGCACCAAAATATAAAAATATAACAGTATTTTGCACCACATGAACAAATTAATTTTGGTATTTTGCGCCACGACAGTAAATGAAATGGAATGTGTAATTTGCGCTACACTTTCTACTTCAATTGCAGTTAAAATTTACCAGCAGACCAATTTAATGATATCGTATAGGGTTTACAATACTACGTACCGACGCGTGTCCAATATAATTTTTATATTGATTTTGATTTTATTTTTATATATTTTATTATTAAACGAAAATTTACTTATTTAATATACATGGAGTTTGTTTAACTTACATACATTTATTTATAATATTAATATTAATGGCGCTAATTACAATATTAATAAGATGAAGAATGGCGCAAATTACAATTTTAGTAGGTACTCAATGGTACAGATTACATAATGCTTTTTTATTTAGTTTTATTTGGCACAAATTACCAAAATAAATTTTTAGATGTGGCGCAAATGACATTTATATTATTATTTTTTTTTTTTTTTGGTTGTTTTTGGCGCAAATTACATACGCCCGTAGGTGGTATACCTTTATTTCCTAAAATAAATTGTCATTTCACTTTTTACAGTAAATATACAGTAATAATTATTTGATCGCTGCTTTAAATGTATTCTGGTTTTCCAAATAAAATAAAATAAAACTACAACGCTATAATTTAATTTAACTTTTATTATATTTAGTGCACGAGTTACACAAATTATTACAAATAATTAAAAAAACACGCGCTCGTCGCATATACAATTCGCTACAAATATTTGCGTAGATACTAACTAATAAACTAATAAATTATCTCATATTATTATTTGGTTTATCGACGTTATTGCTAGTCGGGGATTTTCGTTTATTTGTCTACTTCCATTATGACATTTTTAACTAACGAAGCTTATTCGCGTACCTACACACTTATCACCGATCGTTCACACCGAAATAAATGTATTGAACATCATTCTCCAAATAAATTGGGGATTGTCGACAATAACTGAAGAATATTTACATTTACAACGGTAACCACGTTATCGTCTTTCACCGTAACATATACATTGTCGAGTGGAGTTGCGATTATAATAATAATTATTACAGTTCAATAATATGTTCTCTCGATAAACATTCTGAAACCAGTAAAACTTGAAATGTCAACGATCCCTTTTTATTTGGCTTGTGCCAGTTATTTGAACACTATAACTATAGTACTTAGTAGCGATGTACAAGTTCAAAGTTATTTGCACAAGTCGGTATTTCGTGATTATACGATTATTTGTAGCGTGAAAGAATGACTGCGTCGTAATAATACATCAATACATGGCAACAGATTTTCACCGTTTAATTTAAAAACTTTGATTATACAACGTCGTTTTTGATTTTTCTATAATATTGGTTTTACGTCATTATTTATTTAAGTTTAAAAAAATATACGACAATAAAAAAATAATATGTTCGTATTAGCGATGTAAAAAAAATAAATATTGATTTTTTTTTAAATTTAACTACAGCTTGTTCATTAAACATGTATTTAATTAATGACATTTTAATTTTATTTTTAATAACTATAATAAACATCACAAGCGCAGGAGTTTGTTTAAGCCACGGTCAAAAGATATTACAAACTCTTTGAATTGATTTTGTATACTAATATTACGTTTTTAATATCATTTTTTTTTCCATTAAGTTGAAACTTGCGAACACAAAACTTTTTAAAAATTTTAATTGGACACTATGAGTAATAAAAAAAAAAATAATAATAAACAAAATACTCTATGTACCTACATATAAATGAAGGAACTTAGTTATTTTTATTAAAATAGGTATGAAAAAAGTATAATATTTTTTTGATCATTAAATTCAAAACGAATTATTTCTAAGCTCAAAACTATGTTAAGTTACAAACAATGACGTTACCCGCGTTACTATCCACCTTCTTGTGGTGTTGATGTTTAGAAATGGAAATATGTTGACTTACTTGACAGCTCTGACCTTACCGATTTTCAAAACATTTTGAATATAATAGAACGTTTCCATAACTTTGAAATATTTCATACGGAAATTCTTTTAAGTATTCAGCTATTTTATTATTTAAATTTTTAACTTTTAGCATTCTAACTCATTTTATAAGACAAATTACACTGATTTCAATGAAAAAACAAATTTTATGTAGGTACAAAGAAAAAAATAGCGACAAATGATGGTGATATGTAAAAAGCTAAATAATAAAAAAATTAAAAATAATAATAATAAAAAAAAAATTAGCATTTACAATTCGTATTTATACTCAAATTTGTATGAAAAATGAATTTATATCCAGATAAAAAATTAACTAGATACGAAGTAATAAAACAGGGTGGAAATATTTTAATCATGTACAATACGTAAAATTAATAAATACAAATAACTGCAGCTTACCAAATTATCGATAATTTATTTTTTGACGCAATATATATGTATTTCGAGGTTAAGTGTAACAAAGACACTAAATATTAGTCAAGTGTCATTTGTTTGGTAAATATCAAAATAGCCTTTAGTGTTCGTTAAAATAACGATGAATCGTTTATACCACTAAATAAATTATGGAATGATATATAGGATATTCTTCTGCATTAAAGTTATTTAAGATCTTACGTAATACATTAATATGCGCATATTACGTGATACGAATTATAAGCCAACAATATTGCACAATAGCAATAGGGTATAAAATACATTTTTCAAGTAAAGCGTTACGCAATTATTTGAACAAAATTTTTCTTGGATTTTCAAAACCTACCCTTATATACCAGGTATATTATACCTAATACCTAATACGGTATTAGGTAATATATTATGTGACTTCCAAAAAGAATTTGTGATTGTGAATATTATAAGCGAATTTATACTCAAACACACAGTTCGGCTTGTAATCCACCTCAAAAAGACACCGTTACATATTGTCGTTGTCCATCGAGAGAGTGAGACCGAGACTTGTATCGCTGCACTCGCCACCGAACTATACAATGTACACAATATAATGCGCACACCGTTGTAGAGATTTCCTGTCAGAATTTCGTAGCACGGCACAACACACACGATGACATAAAATGTAAAGAAATAAAAAACGTGAAAATGACGCTATTGAATTGAACAGTAGTGGAGGTGGCACGAAGAAAACAGCTGCAACGACCATTATTTTACATAAGACTGATCGATGGGAAATATCACGGTTACTCGTTCGTCGTGGGATAAGTCGGATTTCCTCTACTCGGTGTCACCAACGGTTGAATATATCTAACTTTTAGATAACGTGTTATCACAGACATATTAACATAAAACAACTAAACAGCCGAGTGTCCATTACATTTCTGTAGGAACGCTGTAGTGTCGTACGGTCATAAGCCAACAGTGTTTACAATTAATATTTCAATGGATTGTATACCTCCAAGGCTCCGCACACAAGCGTAAAATATATAGTGAAAATTGAAATACAATGTAATAGACATCGCCTTGTTGGAATATGACTGCCGACTTCAATAATAACATCGAGTGGTCTGCTATTTAATAGTTGCTTTATAAATTATTTTTACGCGTGTAATACTGAGTACACGGAACACGCAGGGGCTACCCTACAGTTTATTTTTAGGGGGGTTTGGAATTCCAATGACTTTCAAGAATAAATCTGTCGACTGTTTACAAAATATTATAGTAATTACATTTTCCTATAGTAATAATTAGGCATTAAATAGATAACCTCACTGACATTATGGGGAGTGGTGTCAAACCCGTCCTCTCCACCAGCGAAAAGTCGCTCTTTGGAACACGACACGACACGGCGTAATGAAAACCTTAGCTGCTCCACGTAAAACAAAATATCATCAATGGTCATACATTGACCGTGTTTATC